GCATCATATTTATTCTCAGAGTAAAGATGTGAAACATGTCATCACTATGCTAAAGGTCAGCTGAATTTAACAACCTTAGTAGATTTCCTATTTGAGGTTAAGGCATTGATTGGAAAAGAATATGAACCTTAGAATTAGAACAGGAATATCAGAAAATTTCTGATGACTGCGATTAATCTGAATTCCAAAACCAGCAAGTAAGACTATGTTGTTAGATGAAGGGCTGCCTCTCGTCCTGAATAAATAGTGAGACTCTTCCTTCCTAGCTTTAAAACCCCTGCGGAAAGTCATCTTGCAGAGGAAAGCCAGCCAGTATTCCTCAACAAAACACATCATTGTATTCAGACTGAAAATAAAAAACAGATCCAAGCATGCCCTTGAAATGAAAGAGATCAGAACAGAAAGAGAATATATGCCTTTTTATTCTTTAATATTTATTAACTACTTGCCCAAATCAAATAAACAAAAGGGTGAATTCATCCACATGGTATTTGATTGAATTGATTCTGTGAGTCTTAAATTATGAAGGAAAACACACATGTTATGGGACTGAATGAGTATCTAGATACTGGTGCACTTACCAGAAGATCTGGACTCAGTATTTTAGCTCGGAGTTGAAATTATTAAATAGAGTGGCTGCCTAGGAACTGACCTCAGTAATGACCCTTATAAAATAGCATTACTATTTCAGGTTGTAATTGTCTCCTATTAATGCTGTAATAAATTACCATAAACCTGATGGCTTAAAACAACACAGATTTATTATCTTACAGTTCTACAGATCAGAATTCTTAAAAGAGACTCACTGGGCTAAAACCAAGGTATTGACATGGTTGCATTCCTTTCTGGAGGCTTTAGGGGAGACTCCATTTCTTTGCCTTTTCCAGTTTCTGTAGACTTCCCTTATTCCTTGGATCATGGCCGTCTCCATTGCTTCAAACCAACTATGGCTATTTGAGTTTTTCTCATGCTGCATCACTCTGACATTGTCTTTTCTGCTTCTCTCTTCTACCTTTTAAGAACCTTTGTGTTTACATTATGTTAACCTGGATAATCCTGAATACTCTCCCCACCTCAAGATTTTTTTTTACTGTCATATAGTCAGTTACAATGTGTCAGTTTTTGATGTACAGCGTATGTTCCAGTCATGCATTTTCATATCCTTTTTAAATAAAGCTTATTAGAAGATATTGAATATAGTTCCCTGTGCTATACAGAAGAATTTTTTTGTCTATTTTTATATATAGTGGTTAATATTTGCAAATTTCAAACTCCCCAATTTTTCCCTTCCCACTCCCTTTCCCTCACTAACTATAAGATTGTTTACTATGTTTGTGAGTTTATTTCTGTTTTGTGGACGAGTTCATTTGTGTCCTCATTTTTTTTTTAGGTTCCAATTATAAGTGATATCATGTGGTATTTTAATTTTTCTTCCTAGCTTACTTCACTTAGAATAACATTCTCCAGGGACACCTGTGTTGCTACAAATGGCATTATTTTATTCTTTTTTATGACTGAGTAGTATTCTATTCTATAAATATACCGTGAATTCTTTATCCAGTCATCTGTTGTTGGACATTTAGGTTGCTTCCATGTCTTGGCTACTGTATATAGTGCTGCTGTGAACATTGGGGAGCATGTGTCTTAAAATTAGAGTTCCCTCCAGATATATGTCCCAGAGTGGGGTTGCTGGGTCATATGTTAAGTCCATTTTTAGTTTTTTGAGGCATCTCCATACTGTTTTCCATAATGGCTGCACCAAACTGCGTTCCTACCAGCAGTGTAGGAGGGTTCCCTTTTCTCCACAGCCTCTCCAGCCTTTATCATTTGTGAACTTTTGAATGATGGCCGTTCTGAATGGTGTGAGGTGATACTTCATTGTAGTTTTGATTTGTATTTCTCTGCTAATTAGCAATATTGGATATCTTTTCATGTGCCTATTGGCCATTTTATGTCTTCTTTGGAGAATTGCTTGTTTAGGTCTTCTGTCCATTTTTGAACTGGGTTGTTTGA